GCCCGAAACGTCCGAGGAAACCCGGGGACCTGGCGCAGCGCGGCCGTTATAAGCGCCTCCTGCCCTCGTCAGAGCGATATTCGGCCTCGCCGCAGGGCTGGGAGCTTCACGAGGCGTTGGGTCTGGGGAAGTCAACCCACCGCCGTCTGGTTTTGGTTGGCGCGGGGAGCGCTTTTAACAGCTTTTCCGCGTTTGTTTGGGGTCTTTTTTTTAGCGCGGCGATAGTGTCGTGTGCTGTTTGTGCCTCGTAGTGAGGGAGTGCGAATGATAAACCATCAATCTGAATGAACCACAAACCGCGCAGTAAAAAGAGATTGCCCCGAGACGTGCTCCAGTGAGAGTTCTCACAGTCCTGGCACGGTTGGGTTAAACTTTGGTATTTAGCTGTTATCACAAGGTGAAAGTCCTGGTAACTGGCACCAGACTAACAAAGCTGTTTCAGCATGAGGTCACATGTTTTTCTTAGAATGGTATGTCTTGTAGCCTTCTTCACGTAGAAGTTATTTTAGGGGGTGAAGGAGGGGAAAAAGGGGTAGGAAAGGAGACAAACATACATGTTACATACAGTTAAAGCAGCACATCTAACCCTGGAGTTGGGGACAACACATGGAGTTGCAAGGCTTAGAAGAACGGCACTCATCTAGTGTTTGTGTTAGCAGCTGAGCTAACACTAGCCTGTGTTTCTTCTTCTGCAACCAACTTACAGACTGGTAAGGCTGAGAAAATGCTGTAAGAGGATAAAAGCTGTGTTTGGTTAATATTATGAGTTGTTATTTTCCCCTGACATAAATACGACTGATGGTAGGTGCTTCTGTAAGTTCAGCACTGCTGTTTGGTATCAAAATTCATCTGATCTGGATGGTGGCATCGACTGACTTTCAGCCCTGCAGAGGGAGAGAAAGCAGCTCTGCCAAGAAACTTTTGAGTCCAGGCAAATATTTAATTTAGGGCCTGATTCACAGCTAATGAGTCAAGTTCATAAAGCTGTCTGCCCTGCACGTGAGCAATAAACACACATTTCATTCCTCACTAATTAAACTTCTTGTTATCGTTTCTTATTTACTATTACAAAACAAACATCTGCTGAGGATGTCAAATGAGGCATCATAGAATGGTTTGGTTCTATGATTCTACAATATCTAATTTGGGACAAAATGGGACAAAAGGAGCTTGAAGTCAGATGCCTTAACATCGCAATATATATGTCTGCTTTGAAGGTTCAGACAGAATATTGCTTCTTAGGGTGGGTTTTTTCTTTTCTAAAGGGGGGGGGTAATAGTTGTCTCTTCACCATGCTTGCAGTAGCATGATAAGCACCTTGCTACTTTGTCAAGCACTTATTTGCCAAACTAATAGTAATACGGAAGTAATTGTTGTGTAACAGTTAGTATGAGTAGTGTTACTTTTCTTGCAGCTGTTGTTGGCCTGCTGTATCCCTGCATTGACAGCCACCTTGGGGAACCGCACAAATTCAAGAGAGAGTGGGCCAGCGTAATGCGGTGCATAGCAGTTTTTGTTGGCATTAATCATGCAAGTGCTGTATCCTTGAACTAGTTTACGTTGTTGCTCGATGTGCTTAGTCTGTCATGAAACAGGCTCTCCAGTTCATGTCCGGGAGAATTGCAAAGGTAAGGATGGTGCTACTGGCAGAGACATAAAGCTCTGTGAGGCCTGCAGTACATGGCAGTAGTTACTTTTCAATTGAGAGGAGGTGGGGGGGGGGGTTCTGGGATGGGGGAGGGACAGATGTCAGTATGTCTGGCTTAACTGCAAGTGTAACAGTGTAAGTTGTGTTATTTTAATCTGTATGTTGTCTACATCTAATACTTAAGACAATTAACCAGTGAGGTACACTGAACTCTTCAATAGGAGTGTTCTTTGTGTTGAATAACAATGGTTTGAGCAGAAAACCTAATCAGCAGGGATAATTGGGTTACTCGAGACAAAAATCCAGAAAAGTTAAATACATTATGATATAGTGTATTCTTTAGATGCTCAGTGTGACAAAAATGGATGTCACCTTTACACTCACACTCCACACAAAGTCAGCAAGAGCTATGACTGCTCAGCATGTCTGAAAACCCCAGCTTCTTAACGTATTGTGTTTGGAGATACAAAATTATGCTCACTTTCAGTTTGAGTTGTCCCTTGTTCAGTTTTAGCAGCGGGATGTCTGCAGAGTTAAAAGGATTGTCCTTAACATCTTTTTTCAGAAACTAGATTTTGCAAACAACGTCCAGCTGTCCCTGACTCTGGCAGCCTTATCACTGGGTCTTTGGTGGACATTTGACCGATCAAGAAGTGGTCTCGGACTTGGGATTACAATAGCCTTTGTAGCAACTCTGATAACCCAGTTTCTTGTATATAATGGTGTTTATCAGTAAGTTACACTTTTAAAATACTATTTCAATTCTCCTGTCTTAACTAAAACCAGGGGTGCACGTGCACTGGAAGTTAGTTATTAACATGTTTGGCCTATTCTTGTAATAAGACATTTTGTTTGTCAAAGGCAGCTAATTGTTCAGTTGTTCCAGATGATCAGATTGCGAACTGGCCGTGGAGGGTGGGGAGCAGACAAATTGAGATGTGTGTTGAAATTGTAACAGCTCAGCAGACTGAACTTCTGCTGGCTTGGTGTATCATTAACTGGCTCTCAGGAGAGGGAGTTTCTAAACTTCACTGGCTAGGACATTTGGTTTTAGAACCTTATTAAGTTAATAGACTTTGTTTGGTCTCCCTATTTCTTCTCTTATGTTACTGCTTGAGGGGAGGGGGGTTAGGGGGTGGGGCATGGAGATAATTCTACTACATCTTGTTAGCCGTGTGTAAGGTGATAACTTGTCTCTAACTTACTTCCTTTTGTTTACTAGGTATACATCCCCAGATTTTCTTTACATCCGTTCTTGGCTTCCATGTATATTTTTCTCAGGAGGTGTGACTGTAGGAAACATAGGACGCCAACTGGCTATGGTAATTACTGTATAATTAGTGTTTCCTTTAACAGTCCGAATAGCTTCCATTGTTAGTCCAAGAACAAACTATGCCTTTAAGGGTGTGACTCACAAGCTGACAGAGATGAATAGATGTCTTGCCAAGAGATGAAACGTTCAACCTGTGTTGCCAATAGAGTGTGAATTGTCTTAGTAAGCATTGAATATTGTCTGTGTTTTTTCCAACAACAGCCTAAATAAGACTGGCATCAGTACACCGCTTCTGCGGAGAACCTTAATCACTCCTGTTCCATCAGTACTTTGGAGTAATATCTAAGGTAGTTAGAAAACTGAGACACCGATGGACTTTATGCAGTAAAGCATTTTTGTTATGTAGGTGAAAGGAAATGTACCTACATACCATTAAATTCCACCACTCTAGAATCAAACATTCTCTTTCTGGTCACTTAAGACGTAATTCAAGTATCACCCCATATATGAGATAGTAATTTACACTATATTACCTCATTTGCTAGATTCTTAAGTAGTTATTTCCTTGTAGCCTACTTAAGAGTAAACCTGGCTGTGTGCTTGAACATCAGCCTGAGGCTTGTTGTCAAAAGTGTTCTGACACCGATGGACAGTAATAATGAATACTGTGTTGATTTAACTTCTGTCTTCTTTGCTCTAAGTCCTTTATTCTGGAAAACATACTTCCAAGTATTTAACTTCCATTAGGCTATTGTGGTTTAGGTGCCTTTAATTTTTACTGAAGGAAGGACTTTGGTAGATTTGAGAGCTCTGAAATATTAGTCTCTGACCTTTTGGTAAGGGGAAGAGCTGCTTTTTGGGACTGAACCAAAAATGAGTAAAAAGAATAGTCTAAAGCTAGCTGTGTTTCCTGGAGCAGGCTTCTGTCTCTTCTGGCTAGCCTTGCTAACCCAGAGGATGGATGCTAACGTACTTCTCATGTGGATATCTGAACTTGATGCTGCAGATGGACAGGCTTGCAGACAAGCTGGCTAACATTAAAGATCAATTTCTTTAGTATTGATTCTCAGTTAACACTAAATTAACAGTAACCTCTTGTGGAAAAGGCTGTTCAAAAAAAAAAAAAGCGCAAGGCATATCAGCTCCTGTTCTTGAGGTTTTTCTTTCATGCTGACTTGACACCAAGTTACAGATTTCCTGGGACCACGATCACGGTCTTAACTTCACAGTCAGTTTTGGTTTGCTCTGAGGTTCTTTAAAATACAAGCTCACTACTCCCCCTTCAAATCCCAGCGGTGCATACTATCTGCATGTGGTTTCTTTTAGGACTACATGTGGGGAGGAAGAGAAGACATAACTTCTCTAAGTTTGCCACTCGCATCAAGTGAAAAAGATTTATTAATACAGTTTTGTTTAAGCTTTGCTATTGCAAGCAGAGTCTCAGAATAAAATTATGGTCGGTTATACGCTACAGTTCTGCATTTTGCGTTGGCATATGTGGTAATCCCAGTTACTGTCTTATGTTAGAAAGCAAAGGAGGTGAGCCTTAAAGAAGAAAGAGCTAAAATAAATTTAGCACATATGACTTTCTTGATTCCTTTGGTTGCTTGTCACTTGGTATCTCACCTGAATGTACTTAAAATCAAACTGGTTCCTGCCTGCAACTTTCCTGTTAATCTTGTCATTTTCCTTAAAAAGAAAGTGGGAAGTTGGCAAGGCAAAGCATTCTGTTCTGGTTGTCTAGAAGTATCTTGTGTTTTGCATTGCCATTATTTAGTGTGGAAAAACGTGGAGAAGCCCAGCGCTTTAGGTTTTTCTTCTAGAGATGACCCAAAAGCATTGTTCTGTTCTGTCAACCATCGCAAATGTGGCAAGAAGATGGGGTACTACAGTTTTCGAACTAAACCCGAATCGGACAAACAGTTACTTTTGTAGCTATATTTCCTGTAGTTCTCGAGCTGTTTGGCTGCACGTGACAGTTGCAAATCAAACAGTAGATATTTTCTGGGCATGTCTAGAGTAGGAAGTGGCACCTGTGGAAAATACTCTAGTGGAACAAAGTTGCCTCGCTTCTTCCTGAGCCACTGCCTTGCTTTTGCAGTAAGAGAAGAAATTAGAAGCAGCAGGATGAGAAGTGTCCCTGAGACATCCCCTCCCATCCTAAGAAACATTAGGTGGGAGGTGCTTGGTGCTTTTCGGTTATGGGATATCAAGTGAGCTTGTAGGCAGTAGTCAGGTGGACTGTTACCTTTAAACAAACCTGCTTTTAGCAGAGGGTTTGGTTTTTTGTTATCAGCTTGAGGATGAAATCCAATGTTTTCTTTAATAGTTTGATTTCAAAAGAAAAGGTGAAGGTGCTGCTGCTGCCATCAGCTCTCACTGCTTGTTATGACACCTAAAGTTGCTCAGTCAGTGCACGTCAGCTGGGTTAATGGGATGGCAAGACTTCATTTTGTGTTGTAACCATCATTCTTTACATCTGGCAAACAAGCATGGTATTCAGAACTTGGACCTCACAAATATCTATTGCTGCTACTGCTAGAGGCTGCAGAACGGTGAACGCATTCAATACTTGCAAATACATTTGCATTTTGACTCTAGGGTGAGAAGAACATATCGCAAGCAACTTATGCTTGAAGACAGTTTGAAAGAGGGCTGTTAAAATACTGAATTCGTGCCCATTGAGTGAAGCACTGTCTACCTTCTAAGAAATAAACTGAGATGGGGAGGAAAGGTAACAAAGTCCTATAAAAAACAGTGTGTTGGCAGATGGATTTATCAGATGCACCAGCTGAAGCAGCAGAAACCCATAGTGATTTATTTTTTGTCCACAGTTAAGCAGCACGTCCTCGTTGAGCTGTATAAGATGTCTGCTAGGTCATTGTCAGCCTAACTGAAGTTAGTTGACTCTTTAATCACTGAAAATATTTCATAATGTGGTAACTTATCAGATGGCATTAAAATATAACGTGTTTGTTTTTTATCACTAGGGTATACCGGAGAAACCACACAATGACTAAAGCCTCGAAGAAGAGAGCACAGTACTGATGTGAAGGCAACATTGCGAAGACGTGTTCCTGTTTTAAATTGAAGATTATTTAGAAAAAATAATCTCTTTATGGGCTCACTGCACAAATGACTTGTGGAAAAAAAATTAATCCACTCTTAGAATAGCCAAGTGAAATTAACTGCTTATCTTGAAATCTTACCCTGATTTACTGCAGAAGCATTTGCGTATGGCTGTTCTCTGGAAGAGTTTAACACCAAGTTGCTTACAACTGTTCAGGCTAGGTGGCAGTTTTCCAAGTATTAGATTCCAATGTAAGTTATTGAAGCAGCTGCCGTATTTTAAAGCCTTGAAACTGAAATTTAATTACAAGCTCTTGTATCAGTGCCCAAAGGAAGTAGATCGATGGTGCTTAACAATGATGAAGTATGGTTTAATAGGAATAGTATTTATCCAAATCTTTAAAAAAATAGGGTTATTTAAAAATAAGAGTGATCGAAACAGATTAAAGGCATTGCACTAGTGCTTTTAGGAGTCTTATGAAGGAATTGTGCCCTTACTCGTAATGCTGCGTAAAGTTTCTGTCTTTGACGGTGGAGAGGCTTGACGAGACAAAATTTGGAAGTCACTTGGTTTGGAATTTCTAAATTACTTCAGTACAATAGGTGAACACTGGAGACAATCTTGGTCAAACATGGACTTTTATCAGAAAATTCTGACTGGAAATTTCATTACTTGTGAAGCTGTCAGTCAGATTTGCAAGAATCAAGTTCTGGCCCCAGTTCATTAAGAAATTTAGGTGTATAGGTACTCCTGCTTGGTATTAGACATACTTCACTATCTCACAGAGGGAGCTGTTAGGTGTCTTAAGTCTGGTGTCACTGAAGAAACGTGCATTGCAGGCCATTGCTTGGCCACTGAGAATGTGCCCCCAACTCCTTAGATTTGTGCTTTCTGCTTAGAGGTGGCCTTGATCTTCTTGCTTCTATTTGAGTCGGGGTTTTGACTGAAGTGATGGGAAACAGAAGCGGGCCTAAAATGTGGCTTAAACTGTATGTGAAGAAAAGCGAGAAGCTTGTTTTCTCAGTTTGGTGTCTGACAGAGATCACTACTTGTTTTTTCACAACCCTATAGAACTTGCAATCTGTGATTGCCTTCTTAAAAAACAAAAAGTGCATATGTCACTACATAAAACATTTGGTGTTTCTTAATACTTAGTTCTGGTGAGCACAACGTATTCATTTGATAGCTTAGACCACAGGAGACCTAAATAGCAAGTATTAGGTCTTAAAGTTGAAGTGCAATGTACAGTAAATCTGAGCCTCATGTTCTCTTCAGTATCGATCATTTCTTATGAGAGATTAAAGAGAAAAGGGTTCTGAGTTCATTTCAATGCTGCATGGAGTCAAATGGAGCAATAATTTATTTAACTAGTAAAGCTAGTTTTGTTGTATCCTTCATTGAACCCAGATTTTTAGAAATACTCCAATTTTGTGGTTATGGTATACTTGTAAACTTTTATGGATTTGTCTTTTTGTATTATGCAATTTTTTTTGTGTTCGTTTCCAATCTTACATGGCTTCAGATGTAGTTAGAGGCATCAGTTAAAGACTGACCTATCAAAAAAGACGCTGAGGCCAGGTAGCAGTTTTCTGGCTGTTTTCACTCTTCTAAGGGAATGCTATAACTGCTGCTTGTGCTTTTTTGTAGAAGGAAAAGTTTAGCACAGAGTCTGTATTAGAGTAGAACCCAGTTCTAATCTTGCTTTGGAGTAAATCAAGAGTAATTTCATTGGTAAAAGATCCTTCCTGAAATGTTTAAAACTTAAATAATCACATTTTATAGGACTACTTGAAGTTAGGCCCTCAGATCAGGGCTGGATCAGCTCAGCTGTTTTAAGAAGTATGCTGCCTGCTGGGGAGACAGTTTTGTAATCATCTTGAAACCAATTTCAGAATGTTATAAAGCTAAGTGTGAGTAAAGGTTACTGATTTTCTACAGCTGTTTGGTAGAGAAGTATTTAAGATTTATTTGTAAAGACTGAAATTAAATCTGTATGTGTTAGAAATAATGCAGCCAAAAATGTAAGTCAAAAGTTCATTATTTGCCAATACTTCTAAGTATCTTAACCAAAGTGATTTAAGTTTGGAAGAGGCAGGGAAGGGAGTGAAGAAAATTTGCACTATTCTGAATTTGAACATTTAAATTTTCATTCTTACTGATAAGTTTTCAGCGGTGTGTTTGGTTTTACACTTTTTTTACTATTAAAGTTTTAAGATCAAGTCATGTTTGCCTTGGATTCTCTGTATTCACATTATGCAGGAATCTTTCTTGAAAAGGACAGTTGTTATGGTTGCATAACAAATATTCAGTCATGCATACTCAGTGGTTTAAAAAAAAATTCTAAACTGAATTTAGAAATTAGCTTTTTGAAGAGTTTCCAGCTTGTTGTACGGTTGAAGAAAAAGTCTTGCTACTGCACCAAGAAAGTGGCATAAGTGTATGTTAGTTACGTGACTTAAGGTACAGAATCTTACTACCATTGTCTTCCAAGATGCTGCAATTCATAATTTGAAACAAAATATGGAGGAGGCAGGGTAAACATACAAATTCCTGTGGAGGCTTGGTTATCTGCACTGTTTTAGTCTGAAGCATCTTAGAGTGCAAAGAGGAAGAATGAGTACACTAGGTTGGTAAGGCCAAGCAATTCTAAAACTTGCATTGTCTGATTTAGGGAAGATGGCATCTTAAAAAGTTAAGTCTTCTGTTTTACTGCACTTTAATATTTAGTTCGAACTTCCGGAAACTGCTGTGTTTGTGGTGGAAACAGTAGAATGGCATTTTGATCAGTTTTCATCCATATCAGTGCAGATTCTGTTGGCTTAGCTGAGCAAGGCTCCATTAGCAACTACTAAACTATTTTAGCTTAAACAGCTTGTGTTTGCTTCACTTCAGTCATGCTCGGTGGCAGCTGAGGAGGTAGCTGTTAACAGCTCCAGTCTGAGGATGGCCCACAGCCTCCAGGTACATTGCTTTCCCTGAAACCCTGCTCAGATTTTGCCAAAATGAATTGAGAACAAGTGGGTACACCTGGTCTCGGAGAACTAGGATGTGATAGTCTCCTTGTGAGAAAGTGTATACAAAGTTTCTACAGGGGGAAAAAAAGTCTTCACAGCTAGTGGGATGCTTTGCCCTGTGCAGTTGCTGCAAATGCATTCAGCAGGTTGCTCAGCCTTTGGATTCAAAGCATGGGGATTTGCAGGTGCTAAATTAGCCACAGGAGGGCCCATAGTCTGTTCTCTGAATGCAGCAGGAACATATTGAGATGAATAATGAAATTAAGTCTCAGTTGCCTTACTGCACATCAGAGTAGCTCCAAAATCCGTAAGAACAAAGCATTACATGCCAGACTAATTGAACAAAGCATACTTCTATATAAGAGGACGTGGAGGGTCCTGTCTCGGAAACCTGGGAGAGGTATGGGTGGTACCAGGTTCTTCCAGCTAAATGGTCAAGAAAGATACCTATAGGTGATGGTAATTTCTCTGGCCAATGAAATACCAGAGGAGTTGCCCCATACCTCTTTGGAGTCCTTTCCCTGCACTTACATTCTACTGCTGTTCAGTGATACTGTTCTGTCTTCATGGGCTACAAATCTATCCCTCAATAAGTTTGCAGATGAGACCAAATTGGGTGGGAGTGTCGATCTGCTTCAGGGTAGGAAGGCTCTGCAGAGGGATTTGGACAGACTGGATCAATGGGCCAAGGCCAACTGTATGAGGTTCAGCAAGGTGAAAGGCCGGGTCCTGCACTTTGGTCACAACAACCCCATGCAACGCTGCAGGCTTGGCGAAGAGTGGCTGGAAAACTGCCTGGCGGAAAAGGACTTTGGGGTGTTGGTCGACAGCCGGCTGAACATGAGCCAGCAGTGTGCCCAGGTGGCCAAGAAGGCCAATGACATCCTGGCTTGGATCAGGAATAGAGTGGCCAGCAGGAGCAGGGAGGGGATCGTGCCCCTGTACTCGGCACTGGTGAGGCTGCCCCTCCAGTACTGTGTTCAGTTTTGGGCCCCTCACTACAAGAAGGACATTGAGGGGCTGGAGCGTGTCCAGAGAAGGGCAATGAGGATGGTGAAGGGTCTGGAGAACAAGTCTTATGAGGAGCAGCTGAGCGAGCTGGGGCTGTTTAGTCTGGAGAAGAGGAGGCTGAGGAGGGACCTTATTGCTCTCTACACCTACCTGAAAGGAGGTTGTAGTGAGGCAGGTGTTGGTCTGTTCTCCCAAGTAACTAGCGACAGGACGAGAGGCAATGGCCTTAAGTTGCGTCAGGAGAGGTTTAGATTGGATGTTAGGAAAAATTTCTTTACTGAAAGAGTGGTCAGGCATTGGAACAGGCTGCCCAGGGAGGTGGTGGAGTCACCATCCCTGGAGGTGTTCAGACAACGTGTAGATGTGGCACTTGAGGACATGGTGTAGCAGGCATGGTGGTGTTGGTTTCCTGGTTGGACCTGATGTTCTTAGAGGTCTTTTCCAACTTCTATGATTCTATGAAATGGGGACAGATGAATTACATATCCAATAAAACCAAAGTCCTCATGCCTATCTGTCTGACAAGGTCTGCAGGTTGCGGTGGTGCTTCTGGCCTCCTCTGGTTAACTTTCAAAGGCAGAACTCCAGGTACCTGTAATAATTTCTATAAATAATGCAGTACTGCCCAAAAAGTCATAAAGGGTCAGAGCTTTACTGAGTTTTACTCAGTAAAAGCTCTGATAAAAAGCTCAGTTTTACTCAGTAAAGTTTTTCTCCAGCTGCAAATCATGTTTTCTCTGTTGTAGTAAGTCATGCCTGTCTATTGAGTAGTCTGAGTGCTATTGTATTGTTATATTTAATAGCAGACAAGTGCTACAGTGATTACACCAACTTGGTGTATTTCCTAAACACCAGTTTTAGGAACTGAAACACCAGTTGCAAGTCAGCATTTTTGCACAGAAGTCAAGCACAGCTGCATCACTTCCTCGCACCTCGGGAGCTGGTCAGTAGCTCCAGCAGTGCCCTGGGGCATGCAGGTGAGCATCTCTCAGGCCAGCCTGGTGTGGCTTGGGGCTGGGAAGGGGAAACCAACTCCAGGGATGCTCTAAGCTTCCTCCTCCCAAGAGCAATAGTTGCAGAGTATTGTTTGTGCTGCTGCTGATTATTTGTTTTCTAACTGGTCAAAAGCAGCCAAGCAGCTCAAAGAGCAGGAACTGTAATAGTCACAGCGTGAATTACAGCTGGCCGGCGTTTTGCTGGGGGGGGGACAGAGTAGAGGAAAGTCTTTTCCACCCGTTCTCTCCAGGTTACCACCAGGTAGAAAAGCACACATTCCTGCATTGCAGAATCTGGCCATGGACCGCATGGGCTGATTCCTGAAGCCAAGGCTGAATCTGGGTGAGTGCCATTGCGGCCACGGGCGTTAAGGTATGAGCCAAAACCTGCTGACTTCACAGAGGTCACATACGTTTGCCCTGAATATTCTTAGCCCCGTTCAGGAGGCCTTGAAGCCTGTAGCCTGGTAGTATCAAGCTGAACTAGCTTCAGTGAAATACATACATACACAGAACAAAATGTGAAGGCTGCTGAAGACTGTGTGTGTCTCTTACCTGCATAGGCAGCAACAGCAAGTTCATCCTTTTCAAGATATCTTGGACTAGGTGCCTAAAAATTAAAATAAGATAACCTGGATTCGCAAGAAAGTCGAAGTCTTATTCAGTAAAGGCCTGTGACAGAAAGGCTCGCTGAGATGTTCCTGCACAAAGGTAAGTTGTTTGCATGTGACCATGGAGTTCTTCAAGACAGAAGGT